CTTCCTATGATCTTCTGCCTCCGCCTTAGTGTACGCTGAAGTTATGGCAGGAATCTTTTTAACTGCAATTTCGTGACGATTAAATATATGTTGCGAAAATGGCTTGGCTTCCTTCAGTCAGGGATCAGTTCCTTGGGATGCACCATGTTTTCACTTTTCTTAGCGATCGCTGACGCATTTGAATAGGTATTGTGGTTGTGGAATGTTTTCCACTATCGATCGATAATCAAGTTGTTGTTTGTTTTTTTGTTACACATCTATGATGCTAATTATTTCTCCCATCACTAGATGCAAGGCTACCCTGCTGCGCATCCTATGCCAGCAAATAAAATTCCATCTGTATTTTTAAACTTGTATTATGTTTGCCAATTGGCCCTCTTGACTTTGGGAATCGACCCTTTCCCAAAAACTTCTCTTTGCCATCTTCAAATCGCTTCTAGGCACCGATCAAGACGTTATCGATGATCAATAACCTCGATGTTGAGTGATCTGGAGACTTTCCACCACTGAAATCATCCCGATAATGGAGGAAGGCACATGTCTTGCCTTCATCATGGTCAGATTCGACCAAAATGGAGTGATCGGGCCTAGTAAGCCTTGCAGGGCCTAAATTGTTAGCCATTACAAATCGATCAATGCTATTGGATGGGCCTGAAGTTTTCCGCTTATTTAGATTTGCGTAAGCGTGACTATCTGATGGAAACTAAATAAACAAACATACCAACAAACAACTCTAGTAAATACGCCTATGGTCTAACAGGTTCCGGCTCATTCGATAGCTTCCCTGGGAAAATTCACTTTTTATGTAGTTTCAATGGTTTCCTCCTTTACTAAAAGCAGAATATCGACAAAAAAAGTTCAATTTCCTACCCGTGAAGGTTCTTGAAAGCATTTTTTGGAAACACTGTCCGAAGCCTTTTCCCGTCATTAGTTTCATGACAATGACTTCTTTTTTTGGTGAGTTACCATTATTTTTTCATCTTTATTCCTACTTTTAACCTTTCTTCTCNTCACCTCAATTAAATCACCCGTAGTCCCGTTGATCATTGATTTCCTCGAACCGGCGCCCGTAACGTCTTCATTCGTCCCTTCCGCGAGTCAGAGTAGTCCGTGGATCGTTCTCGTTCGCGAGGGACACGAGGCATGGCATTCCTCTCGTTCAGGGCTCTCCTGGAGAACTCTGGTCATCGCGCTGACCTTCCTTTATTGCATTTCGGGAACTCCCAATCTGCCTAGGATACCGTGGCTCTTTTGAATTTCCTAAACCAGAAACTAGATTTGCTCTTCTGCTCACTGAAGAATTCGAGCTCTCTTCTAAAATTGCATTGGTCGATGAAATATCGTGCAAACTTCTCTGCAAATCTTACCAAACTCAAATTCAACGGCTATTCTTCAGTAATCAGAGCATCGGAAGGAAGACAAGAGGAGGCGTGCCTTTGCCTGATGGAGCCTTCTACTTCTGGTGTAGCTCAGTCAGTGCTTTATCGTAAACTTTATTTCTACGTGAAATTCTCGAGTACTACTGGAACAATCGCAGCAGATGGACCACTTATATCACCTCCGCACCCTGTGTTACCCATTGGAATGTGATGATAAAAAAATTTCACGACATCTTTCTTATATGGTTTTTTACCCTTTTGTTTTTGTATTTTACTATGGTAAGATTTCGCCACGGCCGCGGACGAGATGTCGTGCGCTCCGCCCGTTTAGGACGAGTTTTCCCGCGAATCCGTGAATTTCGATGCTTTCTCGCTAATCAATCTTCCCTAGTTTTCTCCCTTGCCACCTCCTTTGACATTTTCTTCGAGTAGCCCATACCAATTAGATAAACAGAGGGTCTGAAAGCACATGAAATCTCGTCCAAGACTGAGAAATTATCTTCAGGGTTAGCTAAGTTCGTCTAAAAGTCGCTTCCGAACAATAAGTTCAAGGTTATGGGTCAAGATCGACGTAGTGAGAGCGGGTTATTTTAGCAGCATTTTATTGATTTTCAAGTTTCAGCTGCTATTTATCGATTGTATTGATTGCTTCGTTCAGATCTATTTCCATATCGATGGTGCCTGTGAGATCGTCAGTTGATGGTGACGAGAAACCCCTATCTCCACCTGGTGACACGGACGAGAATGCCAACAAAGACACACCAAAAAAGCCTGAACCAAAACCTCCGCCAGTGAAACCCCCAGTTGGTCCCGTGCCTACCGTCACTGTTTCGGGACCAGACGAATCACCGACGGACACATTCTCCTGTACGCCAATATATGTAGTTATAATTTTAGCCATATTTCTTATACTAGTAGTCGGAGCTGTGACTACCGTAGTCGACATGAAACCCGAATTTTTATATGGTCCTAAAGCGAATTTTACAGTAATTGATTATAATCTCCTTTTAAATGAAACAACTCATCCTCCATAAAATGTGATCACTGTTTATATTCGCTTATAATATTTGTACTACAAATCTCTGGGTCTCGATCATCCTTTGATATTTAAATGCTTTACTGCTCGCTCTGTTGTCATCGTTTTTATTCAGCTGCGTTCCCACAGCGATCAGATGGTTACTGTAGTTGTGACCACATCGTCAAGTAATTCTTTTATTGACTGTTCTGTATACTGAACCGAATCGGCTCATTTCCCATGAAAAGCGCATAAATCCAGGAATTTTTCGAGCGCCCTGCCCATAACCTATGACCGTGCATCGATTGCGTGGGCGGGGTATCCGTGAAACCGTTCTTTTTTACTTGGCGACAGTAGGATCGCTAGTTTGAGGCCGTTTGAAAGCTCAACTCATTTCTACACATTCCTTACCACTAGTCTGAAGTTAGGGCTCCCAAACCTGTTATAAGCTTTCTGGACCACTCTCCCACCCACCAACATCCCCTTTGTCGTCCCTTTCATCCCAATTTCATTCCAGCGATCCATTCTGGGCATATGTAAGTCCCTGGTTGTCTCTGATGGCTAGACTGAATATGAATTGGACGCTAATTGATGTGACCCAATCCATCACTGATCCAATTAAAGAGATTTGGTGAGTGCAGTGCCCATCCCAACCCCTTACGGGAAATGAGCCGATTCCACATATGGAATTATTACGGTGTTTCTTTCGAATACATGTGCCTGTACCATTCATTCTGATGTGTGTATTCATTATTTTACATTTTTTGAATATTTATTTTTTGTAAGAAATACATAAGCAATAAATAGATATAGATATCCACAACCATCACTCAATGACGACGACGAACACACCCGATCGGTTCGATTACGCGATTAGCCTAGGAGTAGAAGAAGAAGGAGCAGGAGGGAGGGACCAGAGGCAATATATCTCAATAGTTCAATCTCTAGTTTAAAGCTTTCCCAGTTCTATGAATCACATTTCAACGGTGAAAAAATATCGACATTTGAAAAACCTAAACAGCTGGTATAGTTGGGTAAGATGGAAATTGGAAACAATGATAGAATGTAGTAAGTCGGAAAGGTAAAATTTGATAGGAACATTTCGCTAGAGGTAATACCCACAGGCTAGCCAGGTTTTGGTTACCAGAAGTTTACTTCAAGGGAATGCTTAGGATAGATAAAAAGAGAGAATCATCTAGGAAGGGAGAACCCGGTGGGTAAGCTGTTACCTCTCCACTATGGAAAGGGTTTGAGTTACTTGGGCATCGGCTTTGGATTCGCCGTCGCAGATGATGCGAAAGTTCCACAAGAAGGTGAAGTAATGGGCAAAGCACGTGGTTCCAGACGGGATCCGAACTCGTACTTCTAACATTACAAAAAGGAACGCTTTTTTCAGAAAAAAATCACATTTCCCATTTGAAAACGAAAATTCCATCGTGTGGGTATCACCTCCAACCATTTTTTTCCCAACACTTTGAAAGCTATCACATCAACATATCACTACGATAGACTATTTACAATTTCCTATGTCAAATTCAGGCTGTCGAAAGTCGCGAGCGGTCGCGGCGCGGCCTAGCTTCACAGGCCGCGACGCGACCGCACGCGTCGCATGCAGTTTTCCCCACAGACAAAAAGGGTTTGGATTTTTCTGATATGGAATTCGAGTAGCTTGGAAGAATAGCACCATTGCAAAACTAAAGCGAATTGACGACATTTTTCAGATGTTTTACAATGTCCGTGTAGTAATACCAAACAGCTAAAACGAATAATGTCATACAGATTACGGTACTGCCAACGACAGCTAGTAAAGCATGGTTTGTTTTCCGTTCGAGACGCATTCGTTCACTGGCCGGTAAGGAAAGCGGTCGCATGTCCAGTGATCGTAGTTGGCGACGACTGAAAAGCCGACCGATAAGATTTTCCCTAAAATTGGTCAGATTCAGGAAAAAAGTCCAAACCCACATGGTACTGTACCCCATCGAGCTTTTATCCATGTCATCTCCATGGGTGAGTGGTGGAGGTGGAATGCTGTTGATAAAGTCCATAGTAAGTGGTTGAGCTTTTTCACATGACACACCACCATTTCTTGCACCAACACCGCCACCAAATTTGGCGTTTTTGGTTGCCAATGGTGCAAAATCAGCAATATTCTCATAGATGGGACATTGGGTACCGGAACTTGACGATGGCGACGATGCGCACATATCCGTGGTCACCGTTGATGTTGGTGATCGCGAACATTCACTCACTGCCACATCGTCGTAGATACGCATGTAGCGTGCTGAAATGGGAACGTTACGGTAATGGCATACGGTAAATGCTTGTCCATACGGCAGAATGATTATCAGATGGTCCAGTTAGCGCTGGCTACTCAAGTATAAACGCGGTAAGCGACTGAGAATCAGAGAAGGCTGTGAGAGGGGGGTGTCAGTTTTATAAGTATCAAATCGGTAAAATTAGGTGGGGCATGACGCGAATGGTGTGTAGGAGTGGTACACCCTCAGCTTCACAGCATGTCCCTCACTGTGAACCAGGAGATCGAATCACCCGAAGAACAACTCATCTCGTTACCTCTCCGTGGTCTAGTACAGCGTCAGGAACGAAAAGATAAAACAGATAAAGAAAGAAAAAGAAGAAGAAATAAGAAAGGAGTACGAAGAACAAAGAAAGAAAAGAGAAAAATTTTCAAGAAGATAGATTTGGACAAAGTGAGGCTTGAAAAACTACTGTCTGTGATGAACGAAATAATTTTTAGGCTCGACACAGCAGCCTGTGGCTTTAAGGAGCTACTGGTTGAGATTACATAAATGAGTGAAAGTACTTCAGCGAAAGAATGCATACATGAATAATTTTTTTCGGGCCTTCATTTCACCTGACGCCAATTTAGTAAATGAAAAAAAAATCGAAAAATTCGAATTTGAATTTTTTCATACGCTCATTTTCTGTCGAAGAATGACACCTCTACGCACTCCTTGCCTTCAACTCTGCAGTGTTACATTTCAAACCCTTGATTGGCGATTTTTGAGAAAGCTAAGCATCCTCCCGGGTTGGTCCAAAGTACTATAGCTGTCAGTGAAGGCCAAGAGTAGCCCTGCTATCACACTCGTAGTATCAAATTTCAGCTCGACAATCCTGACTCAGTTTAATTTTCCATCGTCCGAAGTCGTCCTTTGTTGTCACTCTTGCAGAAAGAAAAAAAAACTTGCTTTTGCAGAAGCCAAAAAAATACACTAAATACACAATATAATTGAAATATAGAAAATATACAAATAACAAAATATACAATACACAAAAATATACTTAATATAAGTCAAACACACTAGTACTTTCCTCGGCTAACCATAAGCTTAACATGCTAGTGTTGCAGGTCACTTGCTAATACAAAGACGTTTAAATTCCGAAAAAGGTCAAAATGCATGGCGCACACCGAAAAAGATGTAGTTTCGATAGACCCCTCACAGTCTTCCACGATTCGCTAACTAAAGACAAGAATTACTATCAACTTAAACCCTGCATGCTCTGTTCCTGTATGGCTACTTACCCAGAAATTCAAAGTTTACTCGTATATTATATAGTAATGGCATAATCGGCGTATAAGTCAAAACAAATAAATCAATATAATCGGTCAATAAACAATAGTTTGCCTGAAAATAACAACGGCAATTGGGAAAGGAGGCAGGCAGAATTCGTCAACTTCGGATATTGTGGTAATACCAAAGGGAATAACTGAGGATGCAAAAAGTAAAGTAAAGTACATCTAATTATGGAAAGTTGAGAAATGCTGTTACTTGAGGGCGTATACAGTGGAAATATAATTGAATTAGGCGAACACCCAGCTCAGTGATCTTTAATTCGTAGGGCTAATTCGCAGAAGCAGCCCCTCCCATTGGAGTGCTATTGCTATCAAACCTGTTCAGAAGGATCAAAACATTCGTCGTTCATTGAACAGATCACAAACACTTCCACCAGACACTTGCAGGATCCGTATTGGTTTTCGAGGAGGACAATTGAGTGGACTACCTCCCAAGAATGGGCTTGGTCCGGAGGTGAGGTAATTGATATGAAGTAATTAGTCAGATGAAAGAACTCCGCAAAATGTTTGGAAAAGGGATTGGCCGAAAAAGTTCTCGAGCCCCATTTTGTAGTTCTGCCCTGCTTTGTTGGACAGATTCTTTGGTATAGTGCCCATTTAATTCTTCAGGAAACCTAAAAGCTAAAAATAACTCTGAACTGACAGATTTCTTCTAATGATTGGGTCAGCATCGAAGTAATTACTTCGTCATTTACAAATGAGCAACAGTTACATGGCGCATCCCACCAGCGACAGCAACCGCTGAAGTGAGGCCGATAATGAGTTAGAATAATACCTATATGAAAGGTAGGAATGGGTACTCTCCAAGAAAACTGCAGAGTGCTGGGAAAAATATGACCAGCTTTCTTACTTTCATATCAACACCTCTTTGAAAAAGTACAATTTCCTTTCCATTGAAATTTTCCCAAGGACACTTTGNNNTCATTCCATTATTTCTTTAAAAGTGCTTTTTCGGAGTCAAACTTGTCCTCAAAGCTTTGTCTAGACCTCGGGAAGGCGTCCGGCAATCCTTTCAGTAAGTAAAATCAACTTGTATTGGAAAGTAAGGTTATAAATTGAAGCGGATTATGTCGTGGATCATACTAGAACCACAAATGAACAAACAAAAACAAAGTGCATGGTTTAATACTACTACAAATGTTGAAGAAATGTTTTGAAATCAACGCGGATGGGCACTCTCGGAGGATGGATATAATGAGGGGTTGAAAGGGAACCGAAGTGACACTTTATTTTTGAATTGCTACTTTCACAGGGAACTCTCCTGAATAATAGATAACTAATTAAGTGAAGAGTATGGCACTTGGTCTGCTTTGTAAGAGTAAGTAAGTGGGCTGAAGAAAGTGAAGAATTAAGATGGCAAAGAAAGGGATAACAGAGGAAAGAAGGACGAAAAGGGAAAATGTAGGAACTCCGCAACAGAAGAAAATGGAAATTTAGTTTATCCAAACAGAATCCTACTACTATGTATGATGCTTACTGCAGTATAGTGAACATTGTTATGCCGCCATGAATAAGAGCTGATAAATTGCCGACAAAGAGACGTTGTGGATGAGCGATAATCACAAAGGCGATGATCGGCAAAGAGCGATGAGCCAGGCAAGTGGGAACAACGAGAAAAAGCAGCTGTCGGGAGGAGACGTTGCAGAGCATGAGCATGACTTTTGTTTAAAGTGTAACAGTGATAGAGTACAAGTCTGAGGAAGGAAGGAGGGTACTCTGATAATTGATGTTAGCAAACTTCCAAGGGTTACTAATACCGAATTTTTGGGCTATGTACAAAGTATGATGGAGCCATGAGCACTCCTCGACTGGACCATATTTTGTCATCTCGGATAAGACGACTCAAAAGGTGAACTACGGATAAAATATATAACTACACTTTGCTGAAATGTTATATCACATTTTACCATTATTAACTACTACATATTACCCACTTACTAATATTACTGTTGTTACACACACTCTCGTATATTAATTTACATATATTATCATATATTATTATATATTATCATATATTATTACATATTACTACACAGTACTACATATGATGCAGTTGCATTGGTTCGAGACAGGGGAATATGGAGACGTTACAGGCTCCCACCCGAGTGAAATCGATGATTAATGAGAGGGCAGGTGATACGGGTGATTTATTATTTATATTATCATTATTATACATGACTACTACTGCTGTTTACTAACAATGCTATTATTTTGAGATTTTTAAAGATCACAGTCATTGGGGATTCCATCCATGGTACCCCAACTCCCCACTCGCTCTCTTCGTTCTGATTGAGCTCTTCTGACTTTGACTTGAGGAGACTGAGACTATACGTCGAGACGATTTTCATGGCTTAAGTGGTCTAAAGTATTGTTTTCACTAATTCCCGTTACCTATCTATACAATTTAAGGGATGGGTCCCATGTGGGAGGGAAGTTCAGGTAATAAAAGAAAGGAATGCAGGGAATGTCACATTTTCCAGAAATCATTTTGCATGCGTTGTTACACCTCGAGAACTTACCCGTGCTAAAAAAAAGTTATGGTAACTCGAGTAATCAATAAGGCATCGTTTATTACAGTAAAATGGGTTGCACTCAATCAACGTATCGACGGGCTGTTAGAGTCTTCAATCATCTATGATGAACTTGTGGGAACGCCAGAAACATATGGATAAACTAGGCTGTCGCGCGGGCACTACGCTGTATGACCCTATCACTGGTTACCATATAACCGGTAGCGGGTACCTGTTTTCTTATACCGAGAACCCATTAGTCATATATTAGCCCGGTTACGAACCTATGCTCATTCGGTAAAAGCCTCGCTTAGCAAATGGTTCTGGTAGGAAGCAGGATATGGCAGTAATCCGACTAGGTCTTGCTCACTTGCATAGTATAAATTGATCTCTGTGGAATACGCCATGCATTTTGAGTTTCAGTCAGAATCGCAGCTTCATTTCAAGTAAAATTAACAACTAAAATCAGTGGGTGGCCAGAGAATATCACACTGTGCCATACACACATCCACCAATCTACGGCTTAGCGCAATCTAAGGGTCCTAGAAAGTTGAAACTCTTCGAGGGGTAAAGAAGGAAGAAAGAAAGCGATCCTGGAAAACTAGAACACCTTAGGGGGCCAAGAAAGGGAGGTTAGAGATTCTTAGAGAGGAACAGAGGGAAGTGCTCGACAATTATTTCGAGACTCCGAATGCTTTGAGTACGACGGTGAAGAGTGCTAGTACAAGGTCGCTAAAACTGGAAATATTTCCTCCACTAATGCATTTAATAGCGCAGCAGAGCTAATTCCAAGTAAGGAAGATGAAAAGAATGGTTTATTGGGCGATGTTCTATGAAAGATTCAATCCACAGCCCAAGGGTGAGGGTGACAGCAATGGGTCGTGGTCCTGCTCTGTCGCTCTACAGGAGGAGAGCAAGTTCTAGAGCCTTTCGACCAGGATGCTAGAAGACCGATCTCAAGGTTAGAGGTTCCATCATAGGAAGGACAGAAGGGAAGAGTGGCCTCTCCTGGTAAAGGGGAAAAGT